TTCTCTTGCCCCTTTCCGTTTCTTCTCTGTTCTTCTGAGGTGGCCGCCCGGTACAACTCGTGTCCTGATGCAACCTCCAGGGTGCGACCCCCAGCGTCTGCATCGCCTGGCATGCAGGGCTGCAGAAGTGCTCGGCGTAACTGCGTTCTCATCACACGGGCATGGGACTGTCGCAACAACGTCTTGCCCACGTGCGCTTGTACGCTTCAGGGCGAGAAAATGTCATAAACCCCCGCCGCCGCGGTCCCCCATGTGTCGCCACGTAGTTCAACCTGGCAGTCCGCCCCCTGCTTCCCGCAAGGCGTCACGCACCCCTTCAGCGGTCACACCCCGCAAAGTGCCCGACGTGATACTCTCCCCCGACGGCTTAATACCCGTGCTTCACAAATGGCCTGACTTTGTTCGCTCAAAAGCGCGCGGGCTACCTGGTCGTCCCAGTGCTGTGCCACCCTTCGTTCATCAAGCTGATCCTTCGGATACAAAATGTCCTCCGCTAGCTCCCTGGTCGCTGTTCGCCGCGCCGTGTGGCCTCTGTTCATTCCTTCCATCAGACCCTTCGAGCCGTCCTGAATGTTCCAGCCTCCGCGCGACACGTTCATCCAGCCGAGTCATGTCCTCCCGTAGATGGCCCATTTCCTGACGCAGCCGTGTCTCCATCTGCGTCATTTCCTGGCGTAGCCCGCGGCTGCTCGTCAAGATCAGCCAGCTCCAAGGCAAGTGACATACCGCTAATCATTGCGGCAAATCAGCGAAGTGGCGAGTCACCCAGTAATTCTCTCCCAACAAATCCACGCCTGTGCCGAGCGGTCAGAGTCGCACATTTTTTTGCAGAACGCCATTAACAGAACAAGCCCGTGCTTGTTATTGAACATCAGCCCCCAGCAAAGGCACGAAGCGGCACGTCACCGCCTTTTCCTCTATGAACGTACCCGCCTGCCGGGTCACGATGACCAGCCGCTGCCCCTCGGGGCCGCCGACCGGCATGACCAGCCGCCCGCCGTCCGCCAATTGCGCCCGCAACGGTGGCGGGATGAACGCCGCTGCTGCTGCCACGATGATACCGTTATAAGGCGCCTGATCCGCCAGCCCTTGGCAGCCGTCGGCGTCCATGACCCGTACACTAGGGCAGCCGAGCCGTTGCAAAACGAGACGGGCATCGGCGGCCAGGGAAGGGAAGCACTCCACCGTGTAAACCTCGGCTGCCAGTCGGCTGAGCACTGCGGCTTGATAACCCGAACCGGTGCCGATTTCGAGGACGCGCTCGCCGCCTCGCAACCGCAGATGCTCGATCATCACGGCGACCATGTAGGGCTGGGAGATCGTCTGCATCTCGCCGATGGGAATAGGATGGTCGCCATACGCCTCGTGACGCCGCTTGGCCGGCGCAAAGACATGCCGGGGCACCTCGCGCATGGCTTGCAAAACGCGCTCGTCCATGATGCCGCGCCGTTCGAGCTGGTTCCGCACCATGTCCAGGCGAGCGTTCCGCTCGGCGTTTTCCCGGTGGCGGTTGCGTCGTGGCCACATGACAGCCACTCCCATATAGGGGCCGCCGGGGTCGGCGGCGTTAAGGCAACAACACGTGCTCCCAAGACTGACGACCCACAACCCGCGGGCCGGGGCTTTTCACCCACTGCGCCACCGTTCCCGCCGTCTCGCTGACGAATTGCACCTCCGTCGTGCCGTTCACCAAAACCGCCGGCGTCCCGATATAGCCGCCCGCCTGCGGCCCGGTGCAGCACGCCGGGGCGGTGTTGTCGGGGCTTAGGGTCGTGTGGTCTTCCACCGTGTATAACCCGTCGTTATCCAGGTCTAGCAGCGTGAACGGCAGGCGGCCGCCGCTCGGTGCGTGCAACTCGCTCAGCCAGCCGCCGCCAAGGCTTGGAACGAAGGAGGTGAAAACAAGGCGCCGGTGACGCAGGATGGGATCGCTGACGAGCCGCTCCCCGGCAGAGGGCAAATCGACAAACCAGCCGACGTGCCGGTTCCAATCCACCGCATGGTTATCCATGATCCGTACGTCCCCCCGCTGCTGCATCGTTTGTTGCAACAGTGATCCGTCGAGGCGGCCGTATGCCGGCGGTGTCGACGCATTCCGGTCCCACAGGCCGTAGAGGGTCTGCGGTGCGGTGGAATTGCGGTCACCCGGCTCCAGGTTCTTGCCCGTACCGGCGTAGACCATGGTGCCCGTGATCGGATGCGGTCCCACTTCGGGACGCGTCGTAATCGCTTGGCGCTGGCCGCCGGCGTTGGTACACACAAACAGCGGTGCCGGCGTCGCCCCATTGCGGTATGCGCTGCCCCAATCGCCTGGGAATGGGCTGCTGACGTCGAACTTCCACAGGTTGCCCTGCAAATCACCGGCGTAGATCAGATCGGTGGAAAAGTCGCCGTCGAGGTCCACGGCGGCGGGCGTCGACAGGCCATTCGCCGCGCCGGCAGGGGCGGGCAGGCCGCCACTGGCCGGTATGCGGACATAATCGACGCCGCGCGTCCAGGTGCCGTCCTGGCCGCCGTCGAGAAACACGATATACAGAACGGCATGGTCGTTCGGGCTGTTGTAGCCGTTGCCGAACACCGCTGCCCAGCGGCCATTCTGCATGCGGACAATAGACGGTTGGCTGAAGGTGAAACCCAGGTCGGCGTCATCAGTAGCGGTAAATTCCCACTGAACGATGAGTGCCGGATTGCCGGACGCCGCGGCATTGGCGAGTCGTGCCGGGTCGGTCACGTCGAGCGCGTAGATGCCGCGCCCGCCGGCGCCCAATCCGCCGACGACCCAGGTGCGCCAGCCGCTGGCCGTCCGCACGTCCGCGGCGGTGGGGGAACCGTCCACGTAGTAGCGGTGCGCGTACGCCGGTTTGGTCAATTCGATAAGGTGCGGAATGACGGCGTTCGGCGCGTATGCCATGAGTTCCTGACCGGTGGCGGCATTGAAAACGTGGACAAAGCCGTCGTTGCCGCCGACTACGAGCATCGGTGCACGACCCGCTTGAGCGCTGCGAAACGCCGGATAGGTGTGCGGGTCGATCATGTCCGGGAGCCCCGGCGCGCCAATGAACACCGGCCGCGAGTGGACCAAGTCGCCCAAAAGGCCGCCGCGTTGCCGAAAACCGTCGGGCCGACCTTCCCTCGACGGGTCGCCGCGCAAATAAGTGAGGCGGTCCATGGCCGCCTGGTCATCTATGTCGTGCGGCTCCCGCAGGGCGTCCCTTTGCCCGTCGGACAACTCGTCCCATGCAAACGCCCCGCCCCGCCTGTCGGTGGCGTGATAGGTGAGAATCTGCCGCCGTTGATGGCCGTGCGCCGCCAAGATCTGCTGCAGCAAGGGACCGGCTCGCCAGGCAAGGGTCAGCCCACCGGCATCGTCCAGCCCATAGGCCACCACGTCGCCGTGCCAATTGGCGGCGTTGAAAAGTGTTTGGTACAGCCGCGTGCCGGCGCGCACGGTTCGGCTGCTGACCGTTACCCCAGCCGCGGAACGATAACCGACTTGGCCGACGAACGGCGCCTGGCTCAAATTCAGCGCGGCGGCGAATACCATCCCAACACCGCTCAACACGCCCGCGACCAGAGCAAATGCGACACACAGGTTGAGGCAGGCATTCCGCGTCATACGTGATCCGACCGTCAATTGAACCGCTTGGCGTAGATGCTTTGCAAGATGACCCGCGAGGGCTGGGCGCCAAAAACGCCGGTGATTCCGGCGCCGCGCGCGGAGACGCGGAAATAGTTGGTCTCGCGCGGACCGTGGTACTGCACGCCGCTCACATAGCTGTCCGGCACGGCAGGCAGGCGCTCGATGGTGTATCGGGGTATCAGGGTCTGTGGACCGCTCAGAACGTAGGCCATACCGGCGGGCAAGTCGCTGGCGGAAACCGCCTCGGAGCCGCCGCTGCAGGTACCGGGCGGCCCGTCGCAGGCGGCGTCCCATTTCAGATAGCCCCAGGCCGGCTGTTCACCGACGCCATAACGGCCATCCTCAACGCTGGCGTCCTCATCGAGTTCATCAGGATCCGTCCACGGCTCGATGACTGTTTCGCCGATTGCCAGGGCAACGTCGGCGGCGGCCAGGGCCTGCTTGTGAGCGCGGTCATTGGCGGCAAGTTGCAGTTCGATGCGGCTGTTGGTCAGGGCGGCGACGCCGAGCAGGGTCAGCACCATCAGGAGCAATAAGCTGAGGATCAACACGGCGCCCGACTCACCGGCCGGACAGCGTTCGAGGCGTCCCGAGCGCGTTTGCATCCACCCCGGTGCTGACGTATGATGCTCTCCCATCACCCGATACCCTTCAATAGGTTCACGCACTCCCCCAAACCCGCAGAACCGCTTACCAACAAGGGCGCAATTGTACCACGGCGAAACGCGCGGTACGCGGACTGGGGAGGCGCATCTCCCATTTTCCGACAGGAGCACATTATGGCTGAAATCGATGGCGCGAGGCTGGTAGCCCGCTGTTTGAAGCAGCAAGGCGTGGATGAATTGTTCGGCGTGGTCGGCATCCCGGTCACCGGTATTGCGGCGGCGGCGGCAAGCGAAGGCATCCGCTACATCGGCACGCGGCACGAACAGGCGGCGGGCTACGCGGCGCAGGCCATTTCGTACCTCAAGGGCCGCATCGGCGTCTGCCTGGTGGTGTCCGGCCCCGGCATGACCAACGCCATTTCCGCCCTCGGCAATGCCTGGGCAAACTGCTGGCCTATGCTGCTGATTGGCGGCTCGTCCAATCAGGCCCTGAACCACATGGGCGATTTTCAGGCCGCCCCGCAGGTGGACCTCGCCAAGCCGTTTTGCAAATGGGTGGGTCAGGCGGAGCGCATCGACTTGATTCCGCGCTACATCGCCACTGCCGTGCGCCATTCGATCTCTGGTCGGCCCGGCCCGGTTTACCTCGATCTGCCGGGCGACGTGATTGCCAGCAGCTTGGAAGAAGACGACCTGAGCTACCCGCAGAGGGTGGAAGCCCCCCCCGCCCCGCAGGTGGACCCGGCGTCCATCAAGGCGGCCGTGGCGGCTCTGAAGTCGGCGCGCCAGCCGCTGGCCATTATCGGCAAGGGCGCCGCCTGGGCCGGCGCGGAGGAGCAGGTGCGGCGGTTTATCGAAGAGACGCAAATGCCCTTCCTGCCGTCGCCGATGGGCAAGGGGGTCGTCCCCGACGGCCATCCCCTCAGCGTGGCGGCAGCGCGCAGCTACGCCCTGCAGAACGCCGACCTCGTGTTCACCATCGGCGCGCGCCTCAACTGGATCATGCACTTCGGCCTGCCGCCGCGCTTTCGGGAGGATCTGCGGGTGGTGCAGCTCGACGTGGCGGCTGAAGAAATCGGCTCCAGCGTTCCTTCCGAGGCCCCCTTGGTGGGCGATGCCAAGGTCGTTATGGCGCAGATGGTGGCCGAACTCGAGGAGAGTCCCTGGCAGATAGCCGCCGACAATCCCTGGCGGCAGGCGCTCGACAAGGAGAAAGCGGCCAAGCAGGAGGCCACCGTGCCGATGCTGGAGTCGGATGAAGTGCCGATGAACTATTACCGGCCGCTACAGGAAATCCAACAACTCCTGCCGCACGACGCCATCATCGTTACCGAGGGCGCCAGCACGATGGATATCAGCCGTCAGGTGTTGGACAACTACGAGCCTCGCAAGCGCCTCGACGCGGGCACCTGGGGCACCATGGGCGTGGGGCCGGGCTTTGCCATCGCCGCGCAGGTGGCCAACCCGGACAAGCGTGTTATCGCCCTCGAAGGCGACGCGGCGTTTGGCTTCGACGGTCTGGAGGTCGAGGTGGCGGTGCGCCACAAGCTGCCCATCACCTGGATCGTGTTCAATAACAACGGCATCGGCGGCGGCCCCAGCAGCCTGCCCGAGGGTGCGTCGTATCCGCCCAACGCCTTCGTGCCCAATGCGCGCTACGACAAGGTGATGGAGGCGTTCGGGGGCAAGGGTTACCACGCTGAAACGCCGCAGGAATTGCGGGCAGCGTTGCAGGCGTCATTCGACAGCGGCGAGACGACGTTGATCAACGTGACGATCAACCCCGAATCCAAGCGTCGGCCGCAGCAATTCGCGTGGCTGACCCGGGGTTAGAGAAAGGCAGGACGTCGTTATTGGTCCGTTCGATACAGATAGCGGTTATCCCAAAGCCCGTACAGCGTGGGCGTCGTGTTGCCGAAGACGTTTCGGACTGCGCTCAGCCGTTCTCCCAGTGTCGTGTAAATGACCGGCACGTTCTCGGCGGCGATTTCCTGGGCGCGGTGGTAGAGCTTGACGCGCTCGTCGTTAGTCCAGTTCCTGGCTGGCCATCACGTAAAGATCGTCAATTTCGGCCTCCCAATCCGTCGCCGGCTGTAGCTGGTTCGGATACCACAGGTGCAGGTTCTCGCTGCTGTGCCAGAAAACGATACCGCTATAGGGGTCGGGGCCGCCGCTGAAACCTACAAGGATGGCGTCCCAGTCATAGGAAGTGGTCAACTGGGCGACGAGTTCTCCGAACTCGATCAGGTTGTAATCCGCCTGGACGCTGATGTCCTCAAGGGCCTGCTGGATGATCCTGCCGATCTTCTCACGCACGCTGTTTTGGGTGTTGGTCGCCAATGAGAAAACGATTGGGTTGCCCTCGCTGTCTTCGCGTATTCCGTCCCCGTTGGTATCCATCCAGCCAAGCTCATCAAGGATGCGGTTGGCTTCGACGACGTCGTATTCGTATCGACGCACGTCGGGATTGTGAAAGCTGCCCGCGGCCGGACTGACGGAGGACCACTGCGGGTGGCCGAGTCCGTGCTGCACTTCGTCGATGATCCTGTCCTTGTCGATACTGTGCGCGACAGCTTGGCGGAACTGGGTGTTCTGGAACCACGTCAGCTTCTCCGCTAAGCCTGCATCGGGGTTCATGTTGAACGCCAGCAGCGTTGATCCGAAACCTGGGCCGCGCTTGTAGATCGTGAAGTTCCCTTCCGCCTGCAGCGGTTCGAGTTCCGCGAACTCCTCGCCCAACACGCCGTGGGACGTCGACCTCGCCGGCCTTGAACTTGGCGAGTTCGGCCTCCAAGTCGGGGACGATGAGGCGAACGATTTCGTCCAGGTACGGCAGCGAGTTGCCGGCATCGTCCTTGAGCCATTAATCGGGGTTGCGCTGAAAGACCACACGTTCACCGGGGTCGTAACGCTCGATGGTAAAGGGGCCGGTGCCGATGACCTCCGCCGGGTCCGTGCTGATGTCCCACACCTCGGCAAAGGTGCCGTCGTCCACGTGCTGCTCGAGGATGTGCCTGGGATAGATCGCGGTGCCCATGGAACGGAGGAAGGGGGCGAACAGCACCGGCAGATCGCACCGGACTGTATAATCATCCAGTGCCGTGACGGTCATGGCTTCCGTCTTCCAGACACCGGTCTCCTCGTCCAGGAACCGGAAGTTGAACGCGGCCCGGGCATTCACCCCTTCAATATCTTCGTTGTAGATAATGTCATTGAACGTGAACGCCACGTCGTGCGCCGTGAAAGGTGTTCCGTCGTGCCACGTCACGTCCGTGCGCAAGAGGAAAATCCAGGTCAGGCCGTCCTCCGAATGCGTCCAGGACTCGGCCAGCGCCGGTTCGACTTCGTCAGTCAGCCAAGAGGTCTCGGTCAGGCCCTCGAAGAGATACCCCAGGACGCCCGACGACCCGGCGTCATTCGCGATAGCCAGATTCAGGGTCAGCGGCTCGGAAATGGTGGCAACCGTTAAGGTGCCACCGGGTTCCCCAATGGCGTATTCGAACGCCTCGGCATTCTGTTTGAGTTCTTCTGCAATGGTGCTTGGGCTGTCAGACACGATGCCTGGCCTATCGTCCGAGCAGGCGAGCAGGGTCAGCGCTGCAAGAGCGGCAAGAAGCGCGCCGATGCGTAGCCATCGCCTTTTCCGGTGGACCGCACCGCCGGCCCCAGGCTCATAATGCCAAGAACGACCGCGCCAACGTAACTTTTCAATTGTTGCTGGTGAAACATATCTGTTGCTCCATTTTCAAGTCCTTGTCCTTGACCTGACAGCAGACCATTTTACAGCATCATGCGTCTGGGTTGCCTGTCAAGTTACGCCAGCAGGCAGCCACAGTCATTTTCCCAGAGAACGGAGCCGACTTTCCGATGATTTCACACGCCAGCCAACGCCGATTGGATGCGTTACGACGCCAAATTAAACTGCTGGATGGCCGCTTGCTGCGTCTGGATCGGCTGAGCCGGAAATTTTCGCGCCTTCGGATCGCCCTGGTGCTGGTGGGGATCTGCTGCGCGCTCGTAGCTGAACGCTTTCTCGGCGGCAGCTTCACTTGGCTCACTCTCGGCGTGTTTGGTGCCGCTTTCGTGGTGGCAGCGGTCTGGCATCGTCGCGTGTATCGCAGCGGCATCCGGCACGCCGTGTGGAAACGCATCAAGTCCAACCACGTGGCACGCCTGACGCGCGACTGGGCGAACGTTCCACAACCGCCCGACCTGCCGCCGGACCCGGAACATCCGTTCGCCGCCGACTTGAACCTGTTCGGCCCACGTTCCGTGCACCATCTTCTCGACACCAGTGCGTCGTACGGCGGCTGCGCGCGGTTGCGCACCTGGCTCCTGGACCCGCTGGAGACCCCTGAAGCGGTGCGCGAACGCCAGCAGATCGTCCGTGAATTGATACCGCTCGCGCGCTTCCGCGACCGGCTCCACCTGCATGGCATCCTGCTCGGCACGCAGCCGCAGGCGCGCTGGTCTGCCGATAAGATCGTCGATTGGCTTCTGGAGGAGTCGCCGCCCCGGTTGACGCCATGGGTGTGGGGCCTCGGCCTCTTGTCGCTCGCCAACATCGCACTCGCGGTCCTGTACGCCCTGGGTCACCTGCCGCCGTTGTGGGCCGCAACGTTACTGGCCTACCTCGTTCTGTATACCTACAAGCACCGGGAGGCCCGCAACCTGTTCTCCGATGCCTACCAGCTCGAAAGGGTGCTGCGGCATTTGCGCGCCGTGTTGATTTACCTGGAGGGATTCCCTTACGGCAGGACGCCACACCTTGCCAAGCTGTGCGAGCCATATTGGCGTACCGCCAGCCGGCCGTCGGCGTCGGTGCGCAGCATCGTGCGTATTGCGGGCGCCGCCGGGGTGCAACAGAGCCACCTGCTCGGCTTTCTGGTGAACGTCCTGGTGCCGTGGGACTTGTTCTTCGCCGATCGGCTGAATCGGTACAAGGCGTCGGCCAAGGCAACGCTGCCGGTGTGGATTCATACCTGGTACGACCTGGAAGCCCTGAGCGCCCTGGCCACCCACAGCTACCTGCACCCCGACAACGTCTTCCCGGAAATCGTGCCACAGGGCGAACCGATTCTGCAGGCGCGCGCCTTGGGGCATCCGCTTTTGCCGGATGCCGAGCGCGTGCACAATGATTTCAGTTTCGACGCGCCGGGCGAAATTGCTCTCATCACCGGCTCCAACATGTCGGGCAAGAGCACATTTCTGCGCACTCTGGGGGTCAACCTGTGCCTGGCCTACGCCGGCGCTTCAGTGCACGCCGAAGAGCTGCGCACCGTGCCGCTGCGGCTGTTTACGTGCATCCAGGTCGCGGACTCGGTAACGGACGGCATTTCGTATTTTTACGCCGAGGTGCGGCGCCTCAAGGCCCTGCTGACCGCATTGAACGCCGAGCACGAAACGCCGCTGTTGTTCCTGATCGACGAAATTTTCCGCGGCACCAACAACCACGAGCGCTTGGCCGGCAGCCGCGCCTACATCAAGGCCCTCGCCATGGGCCGCGGCGTCGGCGTGATTTCCACCCACGACCTGGAACTCGTCGGCATGGCCGACGACGTGCCGGGGATTCACAACTTCCATTTCCGGGAAGAGATCAGCGACGGTCGAATGGTGTTCGATTACCGGCTGCGCTCGGGGCCTTGCCCGACGACGAATGCGTTGAAGATCATGCACATGGCCGGTTTGCCTGTAATGACAGTGGAAAGGTAGGCGGGGAAGGACGAGAGAAGCTGCCGCGGCAGCCTCGCCGCTTGACAGCTTCTCTCTGGTTTCACAGGTCAGTTGTCTCACCTGTTAGGTGTCAGCTTACGAACCCGGTTGTTTTCCGAATCAACGACGTAGACGTTGCCGTCTGCATCGACTTCGATCCCTTTGGGTACATCAAGTTGCGCCAGCGTGGCCGGCCCACCGTCGCCGCCGTAACCGACGTGCGCCGACCCGGCTATAATGCTGAGCACGCCGGACGGACTCAATTTTAGAACCCGCCCGACGCTCGATTCCACAACGTAAACGTTGCCGTCCGCGTCCACCGTCACGCCGCCGAGGGAGGCCGTTTCAGCAATGGTGGTGATGATCCCCGCTGTATCAATTTTGCGAATCCGTTTTTGGTGCTGGGTGTGTATGCATAAACAATTTGCTGTCTCGCGCGCGCCCGATAATCCGCGATATAGATGTTGCCGTCCACGTCGATTTCGAACCCGACCGGAAGGCTGAATTGCGCTTCAGCGGCGGGACCTTCGTCGCCACTGAAGCTGCGTTCGCCCGAACCGGCAATGGTCGTGATCATGCCCTGGGCATCCACCTTGCGAATCCTGTGATTCTCCGTATCTGCGATGTAGAAGTTGCCGTCGGCGTCGGTCGCCACACCATAAGGAAAGGTAAGCTGCGCCTCTGTGGCCGGCTCGCCGTGCAGGTCCTTCCTCATCGGGTTTTGCGAGTGATCCTTGTTCGCCGTAATCTTGTTGTACTTAGGCCATAGGCAAAAGAGGGCTATCAACCTGAAAACGGCAGCTCGGCGCTGGCGTTTCCATGGGGGTGTCGTGCAACAGATACTTGTCATACACGGCGGAGCGGTCGGCGACGTGATTCTCAACCTGCCGGCGATCGGCGCACTGCGGCTAGCGTTTCCAAGGGCGCGCGTTGACGTGATGGGTGCCGCCAAGCAGCGCTGCCTGACGCGCCACCCTGTCTATGCCGACGCTATCGTTGACGCTGAGTAGTGGAATCTACCGGCTGTTCGGCCATGAACCCCGAGTGCCGCAGCAACTGGCGGCTTACCTGAGCGGGTTCGACCTGATCCTGTCTTACATGCCGACACCTGATGTGGCCTTCACAAACAACCTCAAGCGGTACTGCTCCGGCGAGGTCATTACTTGGCCACCGCATCCGAGCGCCGGGGTACACGTGACCGACCATCTTCTCCAGCCGCTTCTGGGATTGGCGAGCCAAGTCCCACCTGCTGAGCCCCGCGTGTTTCCCGGTATGGAGCACCGGCAAGCCGCTGATCGATTCTGGCAATCGCCGGGATTGCCGCAACGCAGTGTGCTGGCGGTGCATCCCGGCGGCGGTGGACGGCATAAGCTGTGGCCCTTGAAAGGCTGACAACAAGTGTTGGCGTGGCAGCCAAGGAGGGAGCGCCCGGTGTCCTGATTTGCGGGCCGGTCGAGGAAGAGCGCGGCATCGGCCCGTTGCTCAGCGCTCTCGGCCCTACGTGGAAGGTGCTGCGAAATGTGCCCTTGCCGGAATTGGCGGCGATCTTGGCGAGGTGCGAGCTCTTCGTGGGTCACGATTCCGGCGTCACCCATCTCGCGGCCGCTGTTGGCATCCCCACCCTGGCTTTGTTCGGCCCCACCGACCCGCTGGTGTGGGGACCGCGCAGCCAGCAGGCTTGCGTCATGTCCCCCGTGTCGCCGGGACCGCCGGCCCTGGACAACATGCCGGCCGAGGCAGTCATTCAGACGCTGCGGGCTATGGTGGATGGTACGTTCCAATTCAACCCCTCCGACCTGGGATACACCCGACTGCAAATACCGGCTTAAATCACCCCGTCCTGTCGCAGTTTGTCGACCTCGTCCGTGCCGTAGCCCATCACCTGTTCCAAGACCTCGGCGGTGTGCTCGCCCAGCAGCGGAGACGAGGTAATGTCCACCGCCGAATCCGACAATTTCAGCGGGCTGCCGACCGTCTTGAAGGAGCCGCGCTGCGGGTGCGGCACTTCGACGATCATGTCGCGCGCCCGCAAGTGGTCGTCCTCAAACAGGTCGGCGCTGTCCAGCACCGGGCCGCAGGGCACATTTATCGCGTTCAGATGCTCCATCACCTCGAACTTGGTGTATTTCAGCGTCCACGACTCCACCAGGGCGTACACCTCGTCAAGACGCTGCAGGCGCGCCGCCGGGGTGGCGAAGCGCTCATCGTCAATCAGGTCCTCACGCCCCATGGTGCGCAACAGGGCGTCCCATATCTGCGGCTGGAAGACCACGTAAATGTAGTCGTTCGGGCCGCCGGGCTTGCAGCGCAGGGCAGTACCGGGATGACCGCCGCCCGAGGCGTTGCCGGAGCGCGGCACCGCGTCGTCGAAGTGCTCAATTGGGTACTCGGGCAACGGGCCGCGCTGCAGCCGCTGGTGATCGCGCATCTTGACGCGAACCAGATTGAGCACGCTGTCCTGCATGGCCACCTCGACGCGTTGGCCGAGGCCCGTGTGGGTGCGCTGGAACAGCGCCGCCAGAATGGCCGCCACCATGTGAATGCCGGAGCCCGAATCGCCGACCTGCGAGCCCTGTGCACAGCGGCGGCCCGTCGGCCAGGCCGGTGGTGCTCATGGAGCCGCCCATGGCCTGGGCGATGGGTTCGTACGCCTTGAAATCTTTCTTTGGGCCGTAGGAACCGAAGCCCTTGATCGAGGCGTAGATGGCGCGCGGGTTGATCGCCTGGATCGTCTCCCACGGGAAGCCCAGTCGGGCCAGCACGCCCGGCCCGAAGTTCTCGACCACCACGTCGGAGGTCTTGAGCACCTCGGTGAAGATCGTCTTGCCCTGCTCGCTCTTGAGGTTCAGGGTGATGCTGCGTTTGTTGCAGTTGAGCATGGTGAAGTAGAGGCTGTCCACATCCGGCATATCGCGCAACTGCCCGCGGGTGATGTCGCCGCGTCCGGGGGGCTCCAGCTTGATGACGTCGGCGCCGAGAAATCCGAGAATCTGGGTGCACGACGGACCCGACTGCACGTGGGTCATGTCCAGGATGCGCACGCCCTCCAGGGCCTTGTCTGCCATGACTAGCTCCTTGCTTTCAGATGCCTACACGTTGAAACGGATGGTCAGGACGTCGCCGTCCTGAACCGGATACGTCTTGCCTTCGATGCGCAGCTTGCCGGCCTCGCGGCCCTTGGCCATAGAGCCGCTGGCCACCAGGTCGTCGAAATGGATAACCTCGGCGCGGATGAAGCCACGGGCCAAGTCGGAGTGAATGACGCCGGCGGCTTGTTGCGCCACAGCACCGTGCGGGATGGTCCAGGCGCGCACATCTTTTTCGCCGGCCGTGAAGAACGAGCACAGGCCAAGAAGCGCGTAGGAGGCCCGGATGAAGCGGTCAAGACCAGATTCCTGCAGGCCGAGGTCTTGTTGAAAAAGCTCGGCCTCTTCGGGGTCGAGCTGGGTATTTCGCTCTCGATCTGCCCGTATACGGTGATGACCTGCACATCGTCATCCGCCAACTTTTCGCTGAAATTCCCAGCCAGTGCTTCGGCGGCCGGGCGGCGGGCCTCATCGAGATTGAGCACCACCAGCTGCGCCTTGCTGCTCAGCAGACCAAAACCGCGCAGAACTTTTTGCTCGTCTTCGCTGAACGGCAGACGGCGCAGCGGGCATTCCGCTTCCAGAGCTTCCTGGCAGCGACGTAGCAACTGTTGCTCCCGTTGCAGGTCCGCCCGCTTCATTTTCCCGAAGTCCTTGGTGACCCGCTCCAGGCGCTTTTCCACCACGGCGAGATCGGCCAGCAACACCTCGTTGTTGAGGTCATTGAAATCGCCCAACGGGTCAACGTCGTCGCCGAACACACCCACCACGTGGGCCAGGGCGTCGGCGTCCCGCATCAGGGTCAGCAGGCTTTCGGCGAAATGCGCGCCCGTCTGGCCGGTCAGGACGGGATCGACAAACGACATCACGGCGGGCGTGACCTTGCGAGGGTTGTACAGGTCCGCCAGCGTTTGCAGGCGGGCGTCCGGGACTTCGACCACGCGGGTATCGCCCTTGCCGCCGGTGCGCGAGGTTTGGGTCGGCGCGGCGGCGCTGGTCAGAGCGCGAAAAACGGTGGTCTTGCCACAGGAAGGGAGTCCGATGATGCCTATGTGCATGGGTCGATACCTTGCATGGAAGATGAGGCTGCATACAGCTTGTGCGCCGCGATGTAATCGGCCACGGGGGCGGCCACGAGGTCGTCGATGGGCAGACCCCGTTCGCACCGCTCACGCACTTCGGTGGCGGAAATCGCGTCGGCCTGCGGCGGCAGAGGGCAGCTATGGATGCGGTCGCGGTACGGCGTCAGAAGCGGGTCGTCCGGGAGGCTGAAAGCCCCTTGACGCGAGCAGACGATGAATTGAAAGGATTCGAACATACGTTTCAGAGCCTCTTCGGCGTCGTCGTAGTGCCAGGCAAGGATGCGTTCAGCGGCGTCGCGGCCGGTGAGAAAATACACCTGCGGACGCTGCGGATAGACTGCCAGCAAACCCTCGTACATATCGACGAACAGGCCGTGGGAACTGAGCCCCACGGCGGCATACGGGGCGTCCTCAAGCGCCAATCGCATCATTTCCAGACGCTGCTCCAGGGAGGCGCCGAAGATCGTTTTGTGCGGCGGCACCTGCGGCAGCAGAAACAGCACCTCGTCGATGCCGAAACGCGCCATGGCAGCTTCGGCAACGGCCAGATGCGCCAGGGTGATGGGATTGTAAGCACCGCCCAAAACGCCCAGACGAGCCGGGGCTGGGGCTGCTGCCTTCTTGCTGAGGGTGACGCGGGGCTGGCCCGGTGTCTGCGGATGCGGCGTCATGTGGAAGGCGTCCCGGAGCGTCCTAATCCGCGGCATGGGTGACGTTCCAAAAGTGCCCCACCGGCCCGCTGCCTTGCCCGATCGGGTCAGCGTTCTGCAGGGCGCCGGTGAGATAGGTTTTGGCGCGGCGCACGGCCTCCAGCAAGGTGGCGCCGCGCGCCAGATAAGCGCAAATGGCGGCGGAAAAGGTGCAGCCGGTGCCGTGCGTGCTCGTCGTGTCGACCACCACGCTCTCCAGCAGTTCCATGCGGTTGCCGTCGTAGAACACGTCCGTGGCCTTGGTCATGGCATGTCCGCCCTTCACCACCACGGCGGCGGCGCCGTGTGCAACCAGATGCTCGGCGGCGGCGCGCATGTCGTCGAGCGTGTGAACCTTGGCTCCGGTCAGCACTTCCGTTTCCGCCAAGTTGGGCGTCACGACGGTGGCTAAGGGGATGATCTCGTTTTGCAAGCTGGCCTCGGCGTCGGGCTGTAGCAGGCGGTCGCCGCTCGTGGCTACCATGACGGGGTCAACCACCAGAAATGGCAGGTTGGCGGCCCGCACGGCGGCAGCGACGGCGCGAATAATGTCGGTTGAAAACAGCATGCCGGTCTTGGCGGCGCTGATGGGAATGTCGGACGCCACGGTGCGAATCTGGGCCGCCACGACGTCGGCATCAACGGCCTGCACGGCGTCAACGCCGCAGGTATTCTGCGCCGTAATGGCCGTGATGGCACTGGTGCCGTACACACCGAGGGCCGCAAAGGTCTTCAGATCGGCCTGAATGCCGGCGCCGCCACCGGAATCCGAGCCGGCGATGGTCAGGGCGGTGGTTATCATGGTGCTGTGATCCTTCCTTCCCGAACACCGCATCCATTAGCGTCTTGAGGTAATGGCTGGCGGTGGGGTCGCAATGCAGGTTAGAGGAAGCCGGTGGGCTCGCGGTGGGCCACTTCGCCGTGCCACGCTTCGTCCATGTCGCTCAGTGTCCAGGTGTCTTAAAACGCCGCGCCGGCCGCTTCTGAGCCGATGGCGCGGTAGTTACGGTTGGAGTTGAACGGCGGATCAAGGTAGATCAGGTCAACCCATTCGGAGTTCATGCCGCGCGTGATGTCCAGGTTGTCGCCCGTCCACATCGTGCGGTTCTGCCAGTTGGGGTCGGTCATGGTCGCCTTCAACTCCTGACTCACTTTGTCACGCTACTTGTCTTCCTTGAAAACTTCCAAACGCCCCTAAAGCTCTCTCAGCGTCCGCTTTCATCACATCACGGGGTAGAGCATTCTGATCCACAGATCGATTTAATAATCCTGTTGCATGGCCAGGATGACGAAAATGAGCATACGAATTTCTGATGCCGCGAAGATCATCAAATACCTTGAACTCCTCATCGGATAACATGCCACGCTGATATGCTTCTTCGAGGAGTTTTTCCAATCTGGCATCCTTCACCCATGACTCTCCGGCTCCATGAAATTGGCCTGCAAGTTGATGCTCCACGTATGACAAAGACAGCAGAACTGTTGCTAGATACAAGCCATGAATGTAGGCTAAACGTACTTCCTCGTAACATAGATAAGAAATCTCTCCATGAAATCTGCCAAAGGTGCCTGGAGGTACCTGGATTACTTCCATGACATAACTGAGGCGACGAGTTCGAGACCCGAGGCTTTGCTCGTCCTGTAATTTCAGCCAATCAGTTATTGCCGCAGTATCGGTATGTTCAACCATCTCGTCTCCCTCGTGCTACACTACCCCTCGCTGCGTGCGTTGCGTAGCAACATCACCCTTCTGAATGCCCCAGCGGCTTCGCCTCCTGGGGCGTTCCTGCGTCACGGCACCAGATATATATGCAGCCCTGCGAGGCGGTTTCTCAGTACCCCGCAGGGCCTGACACGCCAAACCCCCATGTGGGAGCCCGCATAAGGGTCGCTTCAGCTTGGCGCACGTTTCGTTCAAGGTCGCGCGCTCTGTTGCATCACCACGCGGGCGCGCTGCGCCGTCTGCCTAACGGCCTGTGACGCAGCAACCCCCTGCGCTGCGGCAGTGTACCATCCCCGCTCAGCCAGCGGTGCAGACGGTCGTTGTAGTCCTGCACGAACCCGGGGATGCGGAACACGTCCGGCAGCACCCAAGTGGCCAGCGTTACCCCCATGACGCTGGCCGCCAACAGCGCCTCATCACTGGCGTCCAGCGGGGCCAGCACCAACGTGCCGCCGGCGACGCACGCCAAGCACGCCATGCCGATCCCCGAGGGCTTCATGCCCAAGTAGAAGCGGTGCGCCCCACGACGCCCAGCAGCTACAGCAGGTACGCCGCCGCTTGCGACTTGCGGGGCGCCTCGAAGGCCGCCCAGCGCTGGTTCTCGATCATCGTTGGTGCTCCAATGCCGCCGTGGTCTGCTCAGTAAGTTCAGATTCTTGCACCCTTGGACAAATTGCACGATTGGCAAAGCAACTGGAGGTTGGCGACCGTTGTTGCCCCGCCTTTCGACACCGGGATGATATGGTCAAATTGCAGCTTTTCACGGCTCCTGCATTGCACACACCGGCCATTGTCTCTGCGCCAGACTTCCGCGCGTATTACCTCGGTAATCGGTTCTCTAGTCGTTTGTTCATAAGGCAATGTGGCTTCCGGCGCTGAGAAAGTACAACGATAGTGACCCATCGCTGTCTTGAACCATGCTTTGCCGAGCACACCGACTATAGATCCTTCAAGCCTTTTGACCTTCCGCGCATCCGGGCCACTTGCAACAGCACGCAGCTTCTTCCCGCAGTGTGTGCAGGCATATTCGATAGACTTTGCAGTTGGACTAATCGAAATTAGGGCCATCTCGTTTTCATAGCAGCGAGGACAATTTTCGATGAAGAAAGCGGTGCGTACAATTTCGGCCAACTCACGTATACATTCCTCGGCGCGCAACTGAATTGCCTGTTCCCGTCTTCTTGCCTCCTGCAAGCGGGCTAGCTCTTCCGCGTTTCGCCTCCTTTTCTCCTCCGCCCACTTCCGTTCACCCTCCGCCCGTGTCCGTTTCCATTCCGCCTTCAACCGCTCTTGCTCGTGCTTCTGAAGTTGTTCTAACTCCTCTGCTTCTCTTCGCCTTTCTCCTCGCCTAGTTGACACGGCTGCCGCGGTTATCGCCGCTATGGTCGAGACGACTATCCCAAGGAGGCCAAGAACGAGCCATGATCTCCCAGCTAACATACCCTCCGCCATTATCGCCGGTTGGAACATGACAACCATCACAACCACACCCCCAGCCATCACAACCACAGCTCCAACAAGTGTCTGAAGCACCACAGGATGACCTTCGCCATTCTTCCTACTCCCGCCCATTCCGATAAGCCCTCTTTCTCCGCCTAATCCCTGGGACTAGGGGAGTGAACGGATGGGTGACAAAATGTCTTTCAATTCAAGCCGTCGAAACGTACACCCGACGCCGAAAGCGGAGCCCCGCGGCATGAATGCCGCCAGAGTAATTCCAGCATACAGACCTTGTGATCCTTGCGATGACGCCTGAATTCTGAAGAGCCTACGAATCAGACTCTGATAACTGTGCCTTGAGCGCCTGGAAGCCGGCTTCGGTCAGCCCGGTGGCGGCCTCAATGACCTCCCACGTCACGCCGACCCGCAAAAAACCCTCCACGGCTTCGACTTGGGCTTCCGTTCGCCCTTTCGCCAAGAGTTCTTCCGCATACGTCATGCTCTCTCCTTCTCGCTCAAGTCCATGGCGTCTGAGCGCCTCCCTGAACGTCTCGATCACCTCGTACTCCTGTGTCGCCATCAGGTACACGAAGAATCGGCGGAGTTCATCGACCCCGCTGCCGGCCTGTCTCAGTGACAAAGCCCAGCGCGCCGCCCAGTCCAGTGCCGCTTCCACGTTGCGGCCGAACGCGACCATCATCAGTAACTGGGCGATGCGGCCCTTGATGCCGCCGGTGACCGCCTCGGGTTCCAGGGTCGTCTGGTCCATCAGTTCGTGGGTGAACCGCGGTACCCACGGCCAGGAGCGTGCGGCTTCGGGAAACAGATCGGCAAACTCCGTCGAATAATTCCAACCGCGCTCGCCCTGATAGAATACCACCGGCACGATAGGCCGCAACTCGTGCCGGTCTGGACCGCCACGCAGATCGCCTTCCCAGATGCGGCAGCAATACCGCAGCAGCCGAAGGCGAATCCACGGGTCGGGTGACGACTGGTGCTCGAAGAGCATATACATCGACACGGGTTGTCCGGTGCTGGTGTGCTGTACCTCGTAGAGCAGGTCGGACTGGCTTTCGCGTAGGTCCTCGTCGATGAAGGTGCCCTCGACCAAGGTCAGGGTCCTCCAATCGAAGCTGTTGCGGACGGTGTCGGGCAGTGCTGCCTGCAACAGGCTGGCGGCCTCGCCGGCGTCGGAGAAAACGGCTCGGAAAAACCTGTCGTGAGGTTGGTGAATGTCGGCCATGACCGCGGGCGTCTAATTTATGAAATGATCAGCGGTTAGCAGCCGGCGCGGATCCGAATGGCTGCCCCTTTGCTCATGGGTGACAGCGCGCGCAACCGCGCCACTTTCTCCACCAATGCATCGATCACGATGTCGATCTCCTCGGCCGTCGTGGAGCGCCCGAGGCCGAAGCGGATGGAGGTGTTGGCGAGCATGTCGTCGAGGCCGATGGCCCGCAGCACGTAGGACGGCTCATTCGAGCCCGACGAGCAGGCCGAGCCCGCCGACAGCGCCGCGACGTGCTGCATGCTCAGCAGCAGCGACTCGCCCTGCACATAGGCGAAGCTGACGTTCAGATTGCCGGGCAGCCGCGGCTCGGGGTGGCCGTTGAGAACAACGTCGTCGATGCGCGCCGTCAGCCCGTCGTGCAGCCGCTGCCGCAGGCCGCGCAGGCGGATGGACTCGGGCTCCCATTGCGCCTGGCACACCTCGCACGCCTTGCCGAAACCGACGATGCCGGGGACGTTGGCGGTGCCGGAGCGCAGCCCGCGTTCCTGTCCGCCGCCGTCGATCATCGGGTGCAGGCGAATCCGTTCCGGGTGCGTTTTGCGGACGTACAGCGCCCCGATTCCTTTGGGGCCGTATATCTTATGGGCGGAAATGGACATCAGATCGACACGCAGGTCATCCACGTTGCAAGCGATTTTGCCGACGCCCTGCACCGCGTCGCTGTGAAACAGCAGGCCGTGCTCTTTCGCCACGGCGCCGACGTCGGCAAGGGGAGCAATGGTGCCGATCTCGGCGTTGACGTACATCACCGAAATCAGGATGGTGCGCGGCGTAATGGCTCGGCGCACGTCCTCCGGGTCGACCAAGCCGCCGCTGTCCACCGGCACGTAGGTGATGTCGAAGCCCTCGGCTTCGAGCGCCTGACAGGCGTCCAGAATGGCGCGGTGCTCGGTTGTGGTGGTGATGATGTGGTTGCCTCGGTCTCTGTATGCGCGGGCGACGCCCTTCAGCGCCAAGTTGTCCGACTCGGTAGCGCCGCTGGTGAAGACGATTTCCTCCGGCCTGGCGTTGATCAGTGCGGCTACCTGCTCGCGTGCCTGGTGCACCGCTTCCTCGGCCTCCCAGCCATAGGCATGGGTGCGACTGGAGGCGTTGCCGAACTTGTCGGTGAGGTACGGCATCATGGCATCCAGCACAGCGCCGTCGAGTGGCGTGGTGGCGTGGTGATCGAGATAGATGGGACGGTGGCCGTCTGCCAGCCGCGTCGTCATGACGAGGTCTCCCCTGACTCGGGCGGCAGCGAGTCGGCGACCAACTCAGCGATGTCCTGCACCCGCAGTGTTTCCTCCACGCCCTTCGCCTTTACGCCGTCAGCGAACATCTGCATGCAGAACGGGCAGCCGGTGGCCACCACGTCGGCGCCGGTCTCGATGGCCTGCTCGGTGCGGATGTGATTCACCCGCTGGCCGATGTTGATCTCCATGAAGGCGTGCCCGCCGCCAGCACCGCAGCACAGCCCGCGGCGTTGATTCCACTGCATTTCCTGCATTTGTACGCCGGGGATGGCGCCCAATGCTTGGCGGGGCGAGGCAAACACGCCATTGTGCCGTCCGAGATAACAGGCGTCGTGGTAGGTCACCTTGTCGCGGCTGGCCTGGGTGGGGTTGATGCGGCCGGCGGCGAGCAATTGTTCGATGAGTTGGCTGTGATGAATGACTTCGAAGTTGCCGCCGAACTGCGGGTACTCGTTCTTCAGGGTATTGAAGCAGTGCGGGCAGTGGGTGACGATCTTGCGCACGTTGTGGGCCTGCAGGGTGGCGATGTTTTGCTGAGCGAGCAGTTGGAAGAGGTATTCGTTGCCCAGGCGGCGCGCCGGATCGCCCGTGCAGGTTTCGTCCTGCCCAAGGATGGCGAAGCTGACTCCGGCGCGTTTGAGGATGCGGGCCAGAGCTCGGGTGACCTGGACGTTGCGCTCGACGAGGGCGCCGGTGCAACCGACCCAGAAGAGGTATTCGGCGTCGGGATGATCGGCGATGAACGGGATGTCGAGGCCCTCGGTCCAACTAGTGCGGGTTTCCTGGGTGCCGCGCCACGGATGCCCGCGTTGCTCCAGGCTGCGCAGCGCCGCCTCGGCGGTCTCCGGCATGCGGCCCTGTTCGAGCACCAGGTTGCGGCGCATGTCGACGATGGTGTCGATGTGCTCGATACCCACCGGGCAGTTTTCCTCGCAGGCGCGGCAGGTGGTGCAGGACCACAGCACGTCCTCCGAAATGACGTCGCCGATCATCGACACGCCATCGGGCTCGTCGCCGCGCAGCACCGCTGCGGCCGTGGCGTTCATGTGCCGCTGCAGGTCAAGGATGAGGAATTTCGGCGACAGCGGCTTGCCGCTCAACCACGCCGGGCAGTTGTCCTGGCAGCGCCCGCAGCGGGTGCAGGCGTCCAGGTCCATCAGTTGCTTCCAGGTGAAATCGGCCAGGCTGGCGGCGCCGAAGCGCACGCTCGCCATGGCTTCTTCGTCGCCTTCGAGCGCCTTGTCCAGATTGGCGATCGGCGCCAGTTCGCCGTTGGCGCGGAATTTATGCAGAAACAAGTTGGCGGGGGAGAAGATGAGGTGGCTGAGCTTGGAGAAGCCGATGTAGGTCAGGAACCCGAAGGTGATGACCATGTGGGTCCACCACCACACGCGATGCCAGAAAAGGAACGTGCTTTCGCCGACACCCACAATGGCAAACACCAGGGCGATGAGCGCGCCCACCGGCGACCAGACGGCCCAGCCGGGGTGCTGTTGCAATTCGGTGCCGCCGATCCGGGCGCCCTCGACCACGAAGCCGCTGAGCAGCACGGCGATGAACCACACGAGCACGATCAAATCTTCGCGGCGATTGTCCAGGCCACTGGGCCGGATGACGTAGCGGCGCCAGGTGAGGCCGGCCACGCCGACCAGGCACAACAGGCCGAACAGGTCCAGGGTGAGGGAAAAAAGGAGGTAGAAGGGGCCGTGCAGGAATTCGATGCCGAGGTCTTCGTGTACCGCCACCATGAGGGTGCCGATGAACAGCACCACGAAGCCGGCGTACATGCAGAAATGCAACACCCCTGGCCATTCGCGCAGCGTCTTTTGCTGCCCGAGGCCGTAGACCAGCATGGCCTTGCAGCGCCGCCATACGTCGGTCAGGCGGTCTTCCGCGCGGCCTTGCATCCACAAGCAATAGCGCCGGTAAAGCGCCCAGCCGAGAATACCGAAGGACACCGCCATGAAAGCGTAAACCCATTCGCCGCCAACGATATTGCCGTAAATCTCGCGTGTCGGCACCATGCGGTTTTCCTCTCGGCGGGCAGCCGCCTAATGTGCGGGTGCCTTGCCCTCGGCGATGTTTTCGGGCACGCCGTCGCCCAGCAGCAACTCGCGCGGGTAGATGAAATTCTCGCGCTTCTCGGCGGCCAGGGCGAAGATGCCGGTATCCATGCGGATGGCGTCACACGGACAGGCCTCGACGCAAAGGCCGCAAAACACACAGCGTAGTTCGTCGATAGTGAAGAAAGCCGGGTGTTTTTCCACCGTCGGGTCGCTGTGCTCGGCGGCGACGATGTGGATGCACAAGGCCGGGCACGAGGTGGCGAGCACAGCATGCAGGCGGTGCAGCGCGGCGAGCCGTCTTCTTTGCGCGTCAGGCGGTGGCGCCCGCGGTAGCGCTCCGACACGTAGGTGGGTTTTTCCGGGTATTGCTGTGTGACCGTATGGCGTTGCCGCAGCACGTTGATCCAGAAATGCCGCGTCGTGACCAGCATGCCGCGCAAAATTTCAGGAAGGTAGAGCCGCTGCCAGAACGTAAGCTTGCGCATAGTGTGTCAACTCTCGCTGGAAATAAGGCAACCCTGTTCGCCGATGGCGGCGTAATCGACACCGTAACCGGGAACGGTGTCGGCGATGTCTCCCCAAACCGCTTCGTGATTCGGGTAATTCCAGTCGGCGCCGAGCAGATTGGCAAGCCGTCTGTATATGCGCCACGCCGGTTGGGAGGCGCCCGGCGGTGCAAAGGCGGCGTTGATGCGCTGAATCCGGCCCTGAAAATTGGTGAAGGTGCCGTGGCGTTCGACGTATGCGGCTGACGGTAGCAGCACCTGCGCCGCCTCGCTACCTGGGTGCATGGCAGATCCCTGTACGATCAAAGCCTGTAATTTTGCCGCCAGGCGCGCGAAGGTCTCGGCTCCAAAGACGGCCTTGAGATCAACGTCGACGGCCATCAACATTTCGATTTCGCCGGCTTCAATGGCGGCGGCCAGTTGCGCCAGATCGTCCGGGGATGCGGGGGTCGGCAGGCCCATGTCCTGGGCGCCACGGGTATTGGGGTTCTTGTCGGCGCGCAGCAGAAAATCGTCCTCATCCCCCGACTCACCGGCGGTCACGGTGACCCCACATCCGGGCAGCACCTCGGCGGTCAGTCTGGCCAACAGATAGCAGTCCTCATTGGTGCCTTGCGGAGCGGCGAGCACCGCAATGGCGGCCGGATTGCGATCGCGCAGCAGGTCAGCGGCGTGCGCCAGAGCTTCTTGCATTGGGGCTGGGGCCAACTCGCCCGTTTCGTCCCGCACGGCGGCTTCCAGCAGCCGATTTTCGTGTAGTGACTTGTATCCGAAGCGTCCGGCGTCGCACATCCAGGTGTCATTGACTTCATCGTTGCGGCGTGGTTTCAGGCGGTACACCCGGCCGTCGTGGTGGTGCACGTTGATGTTGCAGCCGCGCGAGCAGCCCGGGCATACCGACGGCGTTTCCTGCAGAAACCACACCCGAATCTTGAAGCGGAAGTCCTTGCTCGTCAGGGCGCCGACGGGGCAAATGTCAACCGTATTACCGGCGTACGGGTTGTCCAGTTGCTTGCCGGGAAACGTGGAGCGATCTGGGCGGTGTCGCCGCGCTCGAAGATGCCGAGCTCGTTGGTGTGCGTCACCTCGTCGCAGAAGCGCACACAGCGGGTGCACAGGATGCAGCGCTCGGAGTCGAAGACGACGTCGGGGCCGAAATCGACCACCTTGCGGCCGTGCACCTTTTCTTCCTGGAAACGGCTCTGGTACAGGCCGTATGACATGTAGTAGTCCTGCAAGCCGCACTCGCCGGCCTGGTCGCAGATGGGACAGTCGAGCGGGTGGTTGATGAGCAGGAATTCCAGCACGCCGCGGCGGCCCTCGATGACTTTCGGCGAGTTGGTGTATACGACCATGTCGTCGGCCACCGGGGTATTGCAGCTGATTTCGAGTTTGGGGCGGCCTTCGAACTCGATCAGGACATGCGCAGGTGTGCCGGAAACGCTGAGCTTGGGGTGGTAGCAATAGATAGAATGACGATGAGCCGGCCTCGTGCGCCGCCTGGATAATGGTGGCGTCGTCCCGCGCGGTAATTTCCTTGCCGTCAATCGTCAGCTTTTTCGCCATGGTTGCTTCCTAGGGAAGGTCGGGCCGATTGTAGGGGCGCCGGGCACGGGTGTCATGAACTCATGGATGTCCACAGGCCAATCGCTCCCAGATTGACCAGGGCGATGGGGATCAGGTACTTCCAACACAGGCCCATGAGCTGGTCGACGCGCAGGCGTGGTAGCGTCCAGCGAATCCACATCATCACGAAGACCAGGAACAGTGTTTTCGAGAGGAACCAGAACGGGCCGGCGATGACGTCGGGCACGAAGGCGATGGGGATGATGCCGGAGAAGCCGCCGAGGAAGAGCACCACGACGAGGGCGCAGGCCACGAACATGTTGGCGTATTCGGCAAGAAAAAAGAGCGCCCAGCGGAAGCCGCTGTACTCGGTGTGGTAGCCGGACACCAATTCCGACTCGGCCTCTGCCAAGTCGAACGGCGTGCGGTTGGTTTCCGCCAGGGCGCCGATGTAAAGCGCGATGGCGGCAAGGAAGCCGAACGGGAAGCAGCGCCAGATGAACCAGTTCCAGACGCCGCCGCTCTGCGCCAGACTGATTTCTACCGTGCTCAGCGACCCTGCCATCACCACACCGGCGAGCAAGGACAGGCCGACTGGAATTTCATAACTCACCAACTGCGCTGCCGACCGCATGGCACCGAGCAGCGACCATTTGTTGTTGGACGCCCAGCCCGCCATGATGATGCCGATGACCACTACCGTCGAGATGCCGTAGATGTAGAGAACGCCGATATTCAGGTTGGAAACGATGAGATTTTGACTGAACGGCAGGGCCACGAAGGACATGAAGGTCGCCCCGAAAATCAGCAGCGGCGCAATTTTGAACACCGTCTTATCGGCCATCGCCGGGATGATGTCTTCCTTGAGCAGCAGCTTGAGACCGTCGGCGATGGACTGCGCCCAGCCGTGCCAGCCGCCGACGCGCATTGGGCCCAGGCGGTCCTGCATGTGAGCCGACACCTTGCGCTCCAGCCAGACGAGAAACATGGTGAGAATGGAAATGACCACCAGCATGCCCGCAGCAACGTGCAGCAGGGCGATGGTGTACCACGGAATCCAACTCCAGGAAGCCGTGAACGGGCAGGACAAACTCGGCAACCGTGCGCATCAGCCACGCCACCCATCCGACAAGCACACACTTCTCCTTACGTCACGTCGTTGTCATCAGGCCGCGCGGCCTTACCACTGGGTTGGCTGTTTGATCCATTCCAGATCGCCCTTGCCCCAGGCGTATACCAATCCGACCACCAGAATGGCCAGGAAGATCACCATCTCGATGAGCACGAAGGGGCCGGCGCCTTTGAGAATAACGGCCCAGGGGAAGATGAATACGGTTTCAATGTCGAAAATGAGAAAAATGAGGCCGATGATGTAGAAGCGGGGATTGAAGCGTACGAAACCGGTGCCGGTGGATTCCTCGCCGCACTCGTAGGGCAGGAGTTTTTCTTCATGCGGGTCGGCCGGGCGAATGAGGCTGCTGACGAAGAGATTCACGAGGACGAACAGACAGCCGACGACCAGGAACCAGAAGGCGTTGTAAAAACCGTCAAACATAGGCGGTGCTCTCCATACGGGTACCGAAAGCGGGGAGGGGCAACGTCGGATGAGTGGGCAAGAACGCTGAAGCCCCCAGAGCGCCGGGGCGTTCGTGGGGGCTGGTGTCAGGCGCGGGTTAGTGGAACGACTGTCCGCAGCCGCACGTCGTCTTGGCGTTGGGATTGGTGATTTTGAAACCGGATTCCATCAGGCCGTTGATGTAATCGACTTCGGCGCCGGCGAGGTACAGGGCGCTTTTCATGTCGACGAGGACTTTGATGCCGTTGCTGGTCAGCACTTTATCGCCGGGATTCTGTTCCTCTTCGAGGCCCATCTGGTATTGCAGGCCCGAGCAGCCACCCCCAACAACCCGCATGCGCAGGGCGTGTTGAGGATCGGGGGCCAGCTCCTTGATCTTTTCGGCGGCGGCTTCCGTGATGGTGATCATCCTAACTTCTCCTTACATTGCGCGAACAATGTGGCGGGGTTTTGGTTGGTTCGCCTTGAAACCACGTATGTGGCATGAACAGTGCGCTTCGCCTGGAATTTCGAGGAAGTGTAGCACACCGGATTGGGCGAATTCAAATAGCTGTGTAGGCCCGCGAGACAACTTGGGCTTCCCTCGCCGCGCGGAACCGAAAGGACGTGATTCGAGCGTCGTGTTATGGTAACAATTCAGAATTCCACATCGTTGGTACAGATACGGCTTTTGGGAGGCGGAGAACGGATGTCGCAAAGATACTGGATGCTCGTGGGTGCGTTGATATTGTTGCAGTTAAGCAGCCTGGCACACGCCCAAAGCGAGCCGGGCAGAGTGGTGGAGCAGTACATCGCGGCGTTGTCGCAGGGTCGGTTCGCCGAGGCGCGCACCCTGACGCTTGAAAGCGCCAACATGGACGGATCGATTTTCGGCAGTTGGCTATTTGGTACGGGCGGCGCAGGGCTCCCCACGGCGACGGCGGAGTTGTTCCTCAGCCAGAAGTTCGTGCAGGCGTTCCGCTACACCATCACCGGCACGACGCCGGTCGGCGAGAATCAGGTATACGTGACGGCGATTCGATCCTCGCCCGACGTGGCACACCTGTACGAATGGGCAGTGTTGCCGAAGCAGGGCGCGGAGCCGTACGAGATCATCACGGCAATCGACACCTATCTGACCACGGTGAACTTCCCTATGGAGGAGTCGCGGCTGCGGTTTACGCTCATCCGCGAAGTCGACGTATGGTTGATCAGCGCGATCGCGGACGCCAGGTTCGCCCGCCTGGGGCAACTGCCCGGCGGCCAGATGGCGCGCGCACCGGCTGGTCAAGCCGACGCTGCGGTTTCGCAGCCGGCGACCGGTGTGCCGGAATCGCCGCCTCAGGAACCCGTCATCACGACAACCTCGACGGACGTCGGTCGGCTCCTGTCCGATGCCCAATTCCACGCCACCTTGCAGGGATTCAACGATACCTTCCGCTCCCCTTCCCAGATCAGCGCCGCGGCCGTCCAGTCGGAGCCCAAAAAACAGCGGTTCTGGAAACGCCTGGCGCAGCGTCTGAAGCTTAAGAAGCCAGCGGTCCAGGTAGTCAACGCGGACTTGGAAAGGTCCTTTCAGAACATCCGCGAGGCGATCAGCCGTTATACGGTCGATAATGACAACGTCCCGCCGGATGAGGCCCTGATCCGTGACTGGCAAAGCCTGCGTCAATTGATCTCGCAACACGGCAGAAAGCGCCGCCAAATCCCAGACAGCGAAGCCGCGGCCGGCTTTCGATTCGTCAACTATACCCGTGACGCCGAGGGCTACGTTCTCCAGGTCGAATTCCTGTCGCCCCAGGCCGGCTTCACCCACGCCGAAATCACCCCCTACCGTGTTACCCGCACCTACTGACTTGCGGTGGAATGTCGGATTCGCAAGGCGCAATCCGACCTGCTGGTTTCCCGATGCGAGGTTGCGCACATGACGCTCTTGAGAATCCACCGCATCCTCATCGCCAGCGGCATTGTCGTCTGTCTGCTTCTGGCCTTTCGCCTTGGCTGGCGCGGCGAGCAAGCCGGTCCCTTGGGGATGGGCCTCCGAGTCGGCGTCCCGCTGCTTGCCGCTGCCCTGCAGGCGTACTACCTCTACCACATCCGCGGACGTCGATAGCGGGACGTTGTCGGGATAGGTTTCAAACCCGCTGCTACAACAAAAACGACGCGCCTCGGACGAAATTGCGGTGACGTTCGCGGTCGAGGAGGAAGCGCAACACGAGGTGCGGGAACTGCCGATGGGGCGCTTTGGGGAGGTCGGGGCTGATCATGCACAGGCATGGTGATGGTGCGGCAATGGGGCAGATGGGTTGACAGCCAGTCGGCGGTGGGACGGGCGGCCCCCTCGCCGTCGGCGAGCAGGATGAAGATCGGCAGGGTCAGGCTGGACAGATGTGTTGCGAGGGTGGAATCAAGCGGTGGAGCCTTGGCCGCAGGGCCCGGAAGGTCCACGAGGAGGAGGGCTTCGAGAGCTTTGGGACGATGGTGGGCGAACTGCAAGGCTGGTATCCAGGCGGGAACAGGGCTGGCCAGGTAGACGCGCTCCAGGCGCAGAGCGTCGAGAAGGGCGGGTAGGTATCCGGTGGTTGGTTGCGGCTGGCAAAATTCATAAGCGATGGTGTGACAGAGTTCGCCGAAGAGGGGCATGTGGGGCAACCAGGCGGCGATGCCCTCAGGGCCGGGAAGCAGGATAAGGGGGAAGCCGTCGCCGGCCGTTTCGTAAGTAAACCGAGAGCCGTCCGGGAGTTGCAGACGAGGCACGATGGTTCCGCCTACCTGTCTGCGACCGCTTTGACCTGCGTCAGGTCCGTCAATCCGCCCAACACCTTTAGCACGCCGTCCTGCAACAGGGTGGTCATGCCCTGCTGTCGGGCCAGAGTCGTAATTTCGGTCACCCGGGCGCGCGATTGAATGGCGTGCCGGATGTCATCACTCGCCACCAACAGTTCGTGCACCGCCCACGCGGCCTTTGTAGCCCAGCCCCTGGCACACCTCGCAGCCCTTGGCGCGGTACAGCGTGGCGTCCGCCGAACCTGGCAAATCCAGGTCGGCAAAGGCCCCTTCGCCATACGCCTGCCGCAGTGCCGCCCACGCCGCCTCGTCCGGCTGATACGCCTCTTTACACGCCGGGCAGAGGGTGCGCACCAGCCGCTGCGCCAGCACCGCCACCAGCGCGTCGGCGAAATTGAACGGATCAAGCCCGATGTCCAGCAGCCGCGTCACCGTTTCCGAGGCGCTGTTGGTGTGCAGCGTCGAAAACACCAAGTGCCCGGTCAGCGATGCTTCGATGCCGATGTGAGCGGTCTCGGCGTCGCGCATCTCGCCGACCATGATGATATCCGGGTCGGCGCGCAGAAATGACCGCATGGCAGCCGCGAAGGTGAAGCCGATGCGCGGCTGAACCTGCACCTGCCGCAGGCCGTATTGGGTGATTTCAACCGGGTCCTCCGCCGTCCAGATCTTGCGCGACGGTTCGTTGATGGCGCCGAGCGCGGCATGCAGCGTGGTGGTCTTGCCGGAGCCGGTCGGCCCGACTGCCAGGACGAGGCCGTAAGGCTTGCGGATAGCCGTCTCGAATCTCTCCAGATTGTGCGGCGTCATGTGCAGGGCCGACAGCGGCAATGGCTCGCTGGCGGTCAGAATGCGCAACACCACGTCCTCATCGCCACTGGCCACCGGCATCGTGGCGACCCGCAGTTCGATGTCCCGTCCGGTGGGCAGGCGGAATTGGATTTTGCCATCTTGCGGCTTGCGGCGCTCGGCGATGTCGAGGCGCGCCATGATCTTCAGCCGCGACACCAGGGCGCGCCGGTAGCTCGGCGGAATGCGCTGGTACTCCCGGCAGTGCCCGTCGATGCGCAGCCGCACCACGGTGTCGTGACGCGCCGCGTACGGCTCGATGTGAATGTCCGACGCCCCCTGCACGTGCGCATCCAAAATGATCTGGTTGCCCAGCCGCACGATGACGCTGTCGTCCTCGCGCAGGCCACCGGCGGGCTCGTCGTCCTGCGGCAACGGCGTGCTGTCGTGCAACTCGCCCAGGATGTCCTCGATGCCGCCGAATCCGCCCTGTTGGCTGCTGGCGCGCTGCAGAAAGCGCGCGATGTCCTGCCGCAGCGCCACCATCCAGCGCAGGCTGGCGCCGGGCAACAGCCCGCGGATGTGCTCGATCTTCGCCGCGTCCCTGGGGTTGTCGATCAGCACCTCGAGGTGGTCTCCGGCGCGCCGCAGCGGCATCCAGTAATTCATCCGCAGGTAGTCGACGTTCAGCCCTCTCAGCAGGCCGGCATCGACCGCCGCCCGCTCGTCGTAGGCCACGAATGGGCAGCCGTAATGCTGGCTTAGCGCCCGCCCGATATCCGCTTTGGAAACCTGGTAGGTGTCCAGCAGCACCGATTCCGTGTCGCAGTTGCGGCGGCGCGCCTCGGCCATGGCGTTTTCCAGTTCGGCACGCGAGAGGATCGCCTGTTCCAGCAAATGATCGAACTGGCTGGCCGTTTGCTGCCGGGTGGCGGTGTTGTGCTGGCGAATGGCGATGCCGATGGCCTCGGCGATGGTGCCCGCGAAGCTCGCCTCTTCAGCGGTGAAGCGCCCGCCATTGCGCTTATTGATGAGCAGCAGCACGCCCATCAGGTATTTGCCGTCCACCAGGATGGGCACGGCGAGCATCTGCCGGGTGCGAAAGCCGCTGCGCTCGTCCCACGAGCGGTTGAAGGTCAGGTGCGGGCCGATGGCCGCCAGCTCATCGGCGTCATACACGTCGCCAATGTTGAGGGTCTTGCCGTATCGGGCGCAGTAGCCCGATACGCTGGTGGCGTCGATGGGCACGCGGATTTCCTGAATGCCTTGCAGGGAATCGAGTAGGAAGCGCGAGTACAGTTCCCGGTTCTCGCGGTCGATGGCGTAGAGCGTGAGTTGTTCGACCTCGAACAGACCGACCAGGTCTTCTTTCAGCTTGAGAAACAGGTCGTCGAGGGAGGCGGCGGCGCGTATTTTGTTGATCAGCGCCGCCTCGGGGCCTTGCGAGCCGCGCTCTGCCGCGACGTTGCCGGGCAGCGGAGTCGCCGTGGTGGGAACGTCAGGCGGGGTCATCTCAAACGTACCAGCGCGATACCGATTCGGCCACGCACACCGGTTTTTCCTGCCCCTCGCGCTCGAAGGTCAGCAGCATGACGGCCTGCGCGCCGCCTTCGATGTCCTGCAACTCCTTGAGCTCCAGGTGCATGCGGATGCGGCTGCCGGCGGGCACCGGGGCGGGAAAACGCACCTTGTTGACGCCGTAGTTGACGCCCATCTTGACGCCTTCCATTTTGTACACTTCCCACATCATTTTGGGTGCCAGGGACAGCGTGAAATAGCCATGCGCCACCGGTCCGCCAAAGGGCGATTCGTTCTTGGCGCGTTCCACGTCGACGTGAATCCACTGGTGATCGCCGGTGGCGTCGGCGAAGGCGTTGATGCGCTCCTGCGTCACGTCGTACCACGGGCTGACGCCGACTTCCTTGCCGACGTATTCCTTTGCCTCTTCAATGCCGGAAAACACTTTCATTTGGCTATCCTCCTGTGGGTCATGCGGACGCGCCCTGGGTGCGCTGTCGGTTGCGTTTTGGGAAACGGAAGCATAGCGCAATTCGATGCCCGACGCAGGGAGTAGGTCCTCAAAGGTGCATTATCCCACATGCCTCTACTTACCCTGCACGCCGCGTGGGTCGAAGGCGTCGCGGAGGCCGTCGCCGAGATAATTGAAGGCCATGACGGTGACGAAAATGAGCGCGCCGGGGATGAGAATCCACGGGTGGAACTTGATCTGCGCAATGTCCATCGCCAGCGCCAGCATGTTGCCCCAGGAGGCTTCCGGGTCCTGGATGCCGAGGCCGAGCAGGCTAAGGCCGGACTCGCCCAGGATGTAGCCGGGGATGGATATGGTGGCCGAGACGATGGCGTAGGAGAGCGTGTTGGGCAGCACGTGGCGCACGATGACGAGGCGGTCCGGCACGCCCATGGCGCGGGCGCTGGTCACGTAATCCATCGAGGCGATAGACAGCACCAGGCCGCGGATGGTGCGCGCCAAGCCAGCCCAGCCGATGAAGCTGAGGATGGCGATGATGGCCACGTAGGTCTGAAACGACGACCAATCGGCGGGAATGGCGGCGCGCAGCGACAGCAGCAGGTAGAAGCCCGGTATCAGCATGAGCATTTCGCACAGGCGCTGGATGGCGATGTCGGTGCGCCCGCCGAAGTAGCCGGAAGCGCCGCCTACCAGCATGCCGAGCACGAAGGTGATGGCCACGCCGATCAGCCCCACGGACAGCGAGATGCGCCCGCCGTACAGCAGCCGCGACAGCACGCCGCGCCCGAAGTTGTCGGCGCCGAGCAGGAAGAGCATCGGCCGGTTCGGGTCGTCCGGGTCGACGTTTTCCAGACCGCGCAGGCCGAACAGGTGGACGCGGGTCTCGAACAGCCCCAACAGGCGGTAGGGATCGCCCTTGACGAAAAAGCCGATGGGGTAGGCAGCGCCGGGCGTCGGGCGGTACACCTTTCGCTGGTTCACGTCGAATTCGTACACGCTGTTGGTGATGTAGGGCCAGCGCAGTCCGTCAGCGTCGGAGATGCGTACCCAGTTGATCATCGGCGGGTGGTACGCCTTCTTGCGGGCGCTGCTGGCGTAGTGGTACGGGGCCAGGAAGTCGGCGAACAGGGCGCTGCCGTAAAGCAGTACCAGGACCCAGAAGCCGAGCATAGCCAAGCGGTTGCGGCGCAGCCGAAACAGGGCACGGCGCAGCGGCGAACGTGACAGAGGCGGGTCCCCGGAGGTAATCCGGGTTGGGGCCTCTGCCGGGCGTGTTTGGCTGTGGGATTCGACCTGTTGCATGGCTCTTATAAAGTTCCGAGTTTCGAGTTTTTAGTTTTCAGCACTCAAAACTGAAAACTAAAAACTAATGCGGGGATCGACCCAGGCGAGCAGGATGTCGGCGAGCAGGTTGCCGATGACCAGCAGCAGCCCGCTCACCAGCGAGCTCGCCATCACCAGGTAGATGTCGTAGGAACGCACGGCCTTGAGCATGAGCTGGCCGATGCCGGGGTAGCTGAAGATGATCTCGACCAGCGCCGAGCCGCCGATCATGGCGGGCAGCAGGGAGCCGAACCCAGCCACGAACGGCGTCATGGCGTTGCGCAGGATGTGCTTGTAGTTGACCACCGTGTTGGACAACCCCTTGGCGCGCGCGGTGGTTACGAAGGGCATGTTGCTCTTGTCCAGAAACTCCGCCCGCAGCACGCGCACCAAGCCGGCCATGGCGCCGGTGCCCAGCACCACAACCGGCAGCACGAGATGGTGGGCGAGGTCCATCATGCGCTCCCAACGGCTTAGCTCGTAGTAGTTGGCCGAGGTCAGCCCGCCGATGGGAAACGACTCGTGCAGCAGGTGGCTGGGACTGAAGTCGTACGTCAGGGTGGTGGCGTAGAGCAGCAGCAGCGCGAAGAAGAACGACGGGATGGCCATGCCCATGTAAGCCATGAAGCCGAAGATTTTGTCGCTTGTCGAGTACGGGTGGGTGGCCGAATAAATGCCGATCGGCAGCGCCAGCAACCAGGTGAACAGAATGGCGAAGACGTTCAGCAGCACGGTGTTCTTCAGGAACGGCCACATGGTGGCCCACACCGGCTGGCGGTTCTCGATAGACCTGCCGAAATTGGGCGCGCCGATACTGAAACCGCTACCGGCCTTGACGAGGCGCATCTCGTCCACCCGCAGGGAGCCGGGCGCGTCGCTGCGAAAGCTGATGGCGCCCATGCGGGTGGTATCGACGCCGGCGCCTTGCAGGTCGGCAAATTGCAGGTAGACGGTACGGGCGGCGTCAGCGGGCAGGGCAACGGACGTTTCGTAGGCACCGTCAGCGGTATCTTGCAAGCCAATTTGCACGAGCATGTCTTGCGTCATGGACGGCAGCACCGTGAACTCGACGCGGTCGCAGCGGCCAGGACCGACCAGGCCGTCGGGGAACTGATTGCGCAGAATAGGCTGGCGTTTACTGGGATCGAGGATGTGGCGAGTGGTTGCCAGTGGCGTGTCGCCGGTAAACCAGGTGGCTTGCATCTCGGCCGGCATGCCGCCGTATTGTTGCGCGAACAGCATGAAGCCTTTGAGACGCTCCCGGTTGACGCTGAAACGGGCGTAATCGGCGTCCGACAGGGTGATCGAGGCCGGTGCATCGGTGGCGATGAAGCGCCGCTCGACCAGCGCCTTGCCGTCCTCGTCCTGAACCCGCAAAAAGACGTCCGCACCGGCCGCCGTGTCGTTGCGCAGCTCCAATTCCAGGGCCTGGAAATCCGCCGCGGACCAGTGGTTGCTCGGGTGCTCGCTGGCCGCGTTGGGGTTGTCCGTCTTGCCCAGCACGCCCACGTCGCCGGGCGCATCGAAGTTGAAGGCCAGGGCGAAGGCCCCTTCGTCCCGAAGCCGGACGTGGACGGGCGTGGCGTCGCCTTGGATGTCGTAGGCCTCGCGGTTGTCAGCCAGCGTGTCGTATTCAAAATCGCCGATGCGGACCCGCTCGCTGGCGAAACGGACGTCAAACAGAACGCCGCGCAGCCATCGGACGTATTGCGCGATCCAGCCTTTGTCGGCGCCAAATTCACGTTTCCACTGGCGCAACTGCCGCTGGTCGAGATCGGGCTGCAAGGCCCACTGGTCGAAAAAGTCGCCCGGCGCGATCTGAATGATCATGAAAATGACGAAGGTAAGGCCGAGGAGCAGCGGGATGGTGATCAGCAGACGCTGCATGATGTAGGTGTACATGGGCGGGACTCTTCATGTGCCCCCTCCCGGCCCTCCCCCTCACCGGGGAAGGGAATTAACACTCCCTCTCCCCTGGCGGGAGAGGGTTGGGGTGAGGGGGAGTTCAAAGTGAGACGGTACCCGACAGCTAACGCACGTAAAGGTAGCGCACATCGTACAGGCCGTACAGCGTCGGCGTCATGTTGCCGTAACTATTGCGCACCGCGGTAATGCGCTCGGCGAGGGCGGTGTAGATAACCGGCAGGTTGTCGGACGCGACTTGCTGGAACTCGTGGTAGATGGCGTATCGTTTCGCCTCGTCCATCTCGCGGCTGCCGTGTACGAACAACTCGTTGATGGCCGCTTCCCAGGGGGTGGCTGGCGCTTCCTGCAGGGGATACCAGAGGTGCAGGCGCTCCGACGAGTGCCACAGGTTGATACCGCCGTGCGGTTCCACGCCGCCGGTGAAGCCGATGACGATGGCTTCCCAATCGTAGGTGCTAACCAGTTGGGACACCAGCGAATTGAATTCCATGAAGCGGGTATTGGCCTGGATGCCGACCTTGGCGAGATCCTGTTTCAGCAACGTGCAGACTTCTCCCGGACGTCGTTGCCGGAATTCGTCGCCAGCGTGAAGGAGAGGGTGGTGCCCTCGTCGTCTTCGCGGAAGCCGTCGCCGTCCAGATCAAACCAGCCGAGGCCGTCGAGCAGGTCGTTGGCGCGTTTCAGGTCGTAGGCGTACTTGGTGACGTCCGGGTTGTGGAACGGCCCCGCCGCCGGGCTGATGGCGGCCCACTGCGGGTAGCCCAGGCCGTTCATCACGTTGTCGATGATGCTGTCTTTGTCCACGCTGTGGGCGACCGCCCGACGGAAATCCCGATTCGTGAACCACTTCAGCTTGGCCGGCTCCACGAACGCCCGGTCGTTGTCGGGATTCTTGCCCCGGTTCTGGTTGAAGGCCAGGAAGGTCGTGCCGAAATTCGGCCCCTGCCGGTGCAGGGTGAAGTTTTTGGTGGCTTCCTCCGGCTTCAACACCGGATATTGGTCGCCCGTGACGCCGAGGACGTCGGTCTCGCCCGCCTGGAATTTGAGCACCGCCGCGGCGATGTCCTGAACCACCAGGTAGAGGACCTGATCCAGATAGGGCAGGGCATTGCCCGCGTCGTCCTTCTTCCAATAGTGCGGGTTCTTGCGCAGCACGATGCGCTCGCCGACGTCGTACCGCGCGATGGTGAACGGCCCCGTGCCGATGATCTCGCTGGGGTCGGTACCCACGTCCCAAGTCGAGGTGAAGCTGCCGTCGTCGACGTGTTTTTCCAGGATGTGCTTGGGGTAAATGGGGGTGTCGATCGTGCGCAGAAACGGCGCGAAGGGTACGGGCAGGGTGAACCGCACTGCGTGGTCGTCGATCTTGGCAACGGCGATCTGACCGCGCTGCCATTCCTGCGTGGCCTCGTCGAGGTAACGGATTGTCAGGCCCGGCCGCGCCGAGGCGGGGATGTCGTCGTTGTAGATGATGCGCTGGAAGGTGAAAAGGACGTCGTCGGCCGTGAAGGGCGCACCGTCGGACCACTTGACGCCCTTGCGCAGGTAGAACGTCCACACCAGGCCGTCTTCGGAAGCTTCCCAGCGCTCGGCGAGGTTGCCTTGCATCCGGGAGGTCAGCCAGGAGGACTCGGTCAGACCCTCGAACAGGTACCCGAGAATCTCGGTGGACGACGTTTCCGTTGAGATTGCCAAGTTGAAGGTCTTCGGCCCGCTGATTGTGGAATGCGTCAGCGAGCCGCCCGGCTTGCCGACTTCGTAGCGAAACTCGGTGGCGTTCTGTTTCAGCCGCTCGAGCAGCGCGTCGCCGCTGTTCCCTTGGCTGAACGCCAACCCGCCGCAGCCGATTGTCAGTAGCCCGAACGTCAGTAACGAAAGCCCTCTCCTGAAACGCCTTGCAACGGTGAGCATAGGTTCTCCCGGCTTGTGGTATGGTGTGTCGTGATGTGTTTCCGGCAGGGCAAGCCCCCCTAGTCATCCTGGCAATTGCCGAGGCTTGCTGTCAAGAGCCTTGTAGGAACGCACTCCCTCCCCATAGGCCGGGAATTGTTACGCCCTCTCCCACTCGCGGGAGAGGGTTGGGGTGAGGGGGACTTGAAGTGCGACTCTGCTGGACAACGGGGCGAATTGCCCATCCACTGGTTTGCAAACAAGGTGTGCCTTGCGAGACGCTGTTCTCCAATACGAGCCGTGGATACGCCTGAGCGGCTTTGGAGTCGTCTTCCTGGCGGTGGCGTTGGCTGAGCGCTGGGCGCCGCGGCGCCAGGCAGGCACGGCGACCGCGCCGCGATGGATCGCCAATCTGGGGCTGGTGATGGTAGACAGTCTGATGCTGCGCCTGTTGTCCGCGGCTTCAGTCGTGGGCATCGCCTTGGCCGTCGAGGCGCAGGGTTGGGGCCCTGTTCAACAGCCTGCTCCGGACGCCCGCTTGGTGCGAGGGGTTGGCTGCGGTGGTGATCCTGGATTTCGCCATCTATCTGCAGCACGTCCTGTTCCACGCCGTGCCGCTGCTGTGGCGTTTCCATCGGGTACACCACAGCGACCGCGATTTCGACCTGACCACCGGGGTGCGATTTCATCCGGTCGAAATCCTGCTTTCCCTGATTTACAAGATGGGCGTCGTGGCTGTCCTTGGACTGCCGGCGATTGCCGTCCTCGTGTTCGAGGCCATTCTCAACGCCACCAGCCTGTTCAACCACGGCAACGTGTTCCTGCCCGTCGGGGTGGACCGGGTGCTGAGATGGTTCCTGGTGACGCCCGATATGCACCGCGTGCATCACTCGCCCCTACTCGTGGAAACCAATAGCAATTTCGGATTCAACCTGCCCTGGTGGGACCGCCTGTTCGGCACCTACCGCGCCCAGCCAGCCGCCGACCATACCGTAATGGCCATCGGGCTTGATGACGTCCGCCAACCCGACCGCTGGCCGCTCTTTGGCCTGCTGGCGATGCCGTTCCGGCGCACACTGTAACTATGTAGGTCGGATTAGCCGCAGGCGTAATCCGACATTCCGCTAACGGCGGCGATTGAGCAGTTGGGACAGAGCGGCCATGGCGGGATGGTTGGCCGAAACCGCTGACGGCAAATTCTCGTACCTGTGCAGCAATTCCGACTCCGATAACTCTTGGGGCCAGTCCAAGTTGAGTGTAATCACACCCTTTTCAGGGATTGTGATTGCGCCGATTTCTCGCAAATGGATGAAGTCTCTGACCCACGCGCGGTCGGGGTATTTGAGGTGGTTGTATTCATCTATCGTACGATCAATCAAATTTCGGATTTCCAGGGTGGGCGAATCAAGCAGCGATTCCAGGACGTGCAACTGGCGAGCGGCTAAGGCTCGGCGACGCCGGCTGCGCAGCTTTCCGAACAGGGACTGGGCGAACTGTCGAAACAGGGTTCGCTTGTTATGGTCCACGATGCTGGCGGCGACCGCGTTGCATCGCGCCGAGACCGCAGGTAGCGCAAATCTCAGGAAGGGCGTCAGGTCGTGGCCTATCTGACGAGATTCGGACAGGGCCGCCAAGTAGTCGTCTTTGTACTCGTAGTAGTAATTGGACAGGCTGACCATCACCAAATTTGCTGACACCAGCCTGCCTCAGCATGAACGCTTCCAGAGCACGAGACGTGCGTCCATTGCCGTCGCCAAAGGGATGCATTGCGCCGATGTGGTAGTGAGCGGCCAAGGCCTGAACGATGCGGTCGTGTTGCCGGAATTCACCGGCCATCGCGTTACAAAGACCGCTGAAGGCCGCCTGGCACTGGTTGCCCCCCTCGGCGCCGCGGCAACGCGGGGTCCCGAACGTAACGTTCCAGTCCGTTGTCCGCAGGGCGCCGGGTTCGCAGTGGTCATCGTCGCAGTCGGTTACCATGCGGCGGTGGATGTCCAGCACGAACTCGGGGGTGATGGGCTGGTCAGTCGGTTGGGAGCGCAACCAGCGGTACGTGGTATCGGCTGCTCGTAGCTGGCGCTGCGAACGCGTGAGATCGACGTCTGGGGGAACTTGGCTTGCCAGGGCTATTTCTTGTTCCTGATCGCTGAACTCGGCGCCCTCGATACGAGAAGTGCCGGCAGCCTCAAGGCGCAATTGCTCCTCATGGACCTGCGCAATCCATTGTTGCAGGTACGGCAGCCGGTTCAGGACACCAGCGGCGGTTCTGGCTTCCACCAGTTGGTCAAGGATGGCCGCCGTTTCGTAGAACACCCACCGCTCCGGCAGGGTGTAGAGGTTGGTCGTTTCGGAGGTCATTTCCGTCTCGTTTCTGCCGATGTCCAACATCCATACGGACATTATGGCACGAAACGCAATTTCATTTCCCGCTCATTTCCGTTTCATTTCATCCCGTGTCGGCACCCTCACGCCGCGGCCAGCGTCTCAAAATACTTGACGAACGCCCGCATGCCGCCGCTGGCCTGGCCCCAATCGAAGTTCTCGTTGGGCGCGTGATACCCGTGCTCGGGGAGGCTGAGGCCCAGGAAGACGACGGGAACCTTCAGCATTGTGTCGAGAGTGACGACGGCGCCGATGGAGCCGCCCTCGCGGATGAAGCTGGGGGACATGCCGAAGCCGAATTCCACCGCTTGGCGCACGGCGTCGCCGTAGAAGCCGCTGAACTCGCCGAGGTAGGGAACCAGGGCGCCCGCCGGGGGTGATGCGTACGTCGGGGTTGAGGCGGCCGACGAAATCGCACGTCAGTTCCAGAATGCGGTCGGGGTTCTGGTTCGGCACCAGCCGCATGCTGATCTTGGCTTCCGCCTCATGGGGCACGATGGTCTTGATGCCCGGGCCCTGGTAGCCGCCGCTGATGCCGTGTACCTCGAAGGTCGGCTCGCTCCAGATGGCTTGCACAATCTGCCGCACGTCGTCGCTGCGCAAGTCGTGCAGGCCGTGGGCCGTGCGGAAGCCGTCCAGGTCAAAGCCGCTGCCCAGGAAGTGGGTCAGCTCGTCGCTGCTGAGGCGCTGCACGTCCTCGTAAAATCCGGGAATGCTGACGCGCCCGGTGCGCGCCTCGTAGCAGCAGGCGATCAGTTCGGCCAGCTCGCCGATGGGGTTGCGCGCGGCGCCGCCGGTGAGGCCGGAGTGGCTGTCCTTGCTGCCGGTTTCCAGGCGCCATTGCATCATCAGCATGCCGCGCAGGCCGTAGGGCACCGCGGGCTTTTCCGGCGACAGCCAGATGGTGTCGGACACCAGCACGGACTGACAGGTCAAGGCTTCCCGCTTCTGCTGCACGAAATGCGCGAAGTTGGGGCTGCCGATCTCTTCCTCCAGCTCCCAGATGAACTGGAAATTCAGCGGCAATCCCTGTTGCGACGCGAAGCGGGCCGCCATCAGCGCGGTGAGCGCCGGGCCCTTGTCGTCCGTGGTGCCGCGGCCCAGGTAACGGTCGCCCTGACGCTGGAACACGAACGGCTCGTTCTCCCACTGCGGCTCGTTGGCGGGCTGTACGTCCATGTGGTTGTAGATGGCCACCGTTGGGTAGTCCGCATTGGCGGTGATGTTCCCAAAGACGACAGGATGGCCCGGCGTTTCGACGATCTCAGCCTCAGCCCCGCACGCCCGCAGAATCTCGACCGCCCGCTCCGCCCCGCGCCGGATATCGTCAGCGTGCGCCGGGTCCATGCTCACTGTCGGGATCTCCACCAGATCGCGCAGCCAGCCCTCGAATTCCTCGCGCACGGCGGGGATGGTGCGGTCCAGATCAGCATAGAGTTGCGGGGGCGTGGGCATGCGAATCTCCTTTTGCAGGGGTGTGTTTGCGGGCGCCGCGGCGGGTCGTCCCAGGACGTGTGGCGACTATAGCACGGGCCATCCGAGTGACGCTATAATGGCCGCCGCATAGGTAATGATGTAGCCCTAAGCGCCGGGATGCGTGGCAGCGGCATTGTGGCGTACCTGGAAGCGAACGGCATCGAACTCCCAAGGCGAACGCGGCGAAGCGCCGTCACGGGTAGCTGGTCGCGCGTGGCCGTTGCGCGAATCGCCCGGCGGCTCGGTATTCGCTTCAGTCCAAAGCGAGCGAAAAAGGGAGCGACGGCATGAGCGCACAAACGGAAGCAAACCGGCCCTTTTGGCAGGAGTTAAGGATTTGGCAACGCTGATCATGGCCGTGGTGATCATCCTGGGCAGCTGCGCGGGGGTTGTCCAATGGATCGTGTCTTCTGCGGTGGCGCCGCTTCGCGTCGAACTTCGGGCGATGGACGGGCGCCTTGAGCGTATCGAGAATACCCTGACGGCGTTGCCCGAAATCCGCGAACGGTTGACAGAGGTGGAGACGTTGCTTTCAAAACCTACAGGGGAGTGACGGCATGACGGAGGAGACATGGGAACTGTGCGTAAAACCGTTATGCTGACCGACCAGCAAGAACGGTGGATCAAGGCACGGATCGCAGCGGGTGGCATCACCAGCGACAGTGTACATCCGAGAGTTGATTCGCCGTGATCGGGAAGAGGGCACCAAACTGCGGGCGCTCAAATCCGCAATTCAGGAAGGTCTGGACAGTGGCGTGAGCGAAAAGACCGTTCCGCAGATCATGGAGGAAGTCGAAGCCCGGCTTCGTGCCAATGACCGTTTATAGACTGTCAAGGGTGGGCAGTGACCCCTCGGCGTGATCTTCTTGGCTCTTGTCCTGTTCGTACGCATCGTTGATGCGATACGTCAGTGCTAACAATCTCTGATCGAAACTGACCGGCAAGCGGCTATGCGCTGTATTCGCTGTCGACCGGCTACCCGTACCCCGCTGATATGGAGACCATTGTGGCAAACAAAATCGTATTCTCGCTCCCGTTCCCGCCCTCGATCATGGATGTCGCTCACGCCATGGCGCCGACCGATTTCGACTTCCAGGTCGTTGCCCAAGACGACCCCAACTTTGCGCAGGCCATTCAGGACGCCGACTACTTCATGGGCTTTCCGCGCGAGCACATGGGGCAGTCGTTCTACGACACGGCGCCGAATCTGAAGCTCGTGCAGCTCATCAGCGCCGGCTACGACCGCCTCGACGTGGATGCCGCCCGGCAGGCGCGCGTACCGGTGGCCAATAACGGCGGCTCCAATTCGGTGGCCGTTGCCGAGCACACCATGATGCTTATCCTCGCCGTGTACAAACAGGTCGTCCGCGACCACAACAACGTCGTCAACGCCAAGTGGCGGGTGGGGGATTTCGCCGACCTGTGCATCTACGAGCTGGCCGGCAAGACGCTTGGCATCGTCGGCTTGGGCACCATCGGCAAGAAGGTGGCGCGCCGCGCCCAGGCTTTCGACATGCGGGTGCAGTACTACGATGCCTTCCGTCTCGGCGAGGACCAGGCAGACGCCCTTGGCGTGCGCTATGTGCTCTTCCCCGAACTGCTGCGTACCTCGGACGTGGTCAGCCTGCACATGCCGCTGAACGAGCAGACCCGCAACATGATGGGCGCCCGCGAGTTCGCCACCATGAAGAACGACGCCATTTTCATCAATACCTGCCGCGGCCCGGTGGTGGACGAGGAAGCGCTGCACCACGCCCTGACCAGCGGCCAGATCGCCGCTGCCGGACTCGACGTGATGGTCGAAGAGCCGCCGCCAACCGATCACCCGCTGTTTCGCCTTGACACGTCACCTACTC